CCGCTTTAGTCGGAAAAATGCTTTACTTCTGCTTTAGATTATTACGTTGACATACTTTCTTGGTATGTCTATGTTCATGGATGATGAATTTGGTCTTCTATTTGAATACGTTCTTGTAATCTGTGTTTGTATATACCAGGTTTCTGCTGATTTCAATTAATATGCTGAAGAAATAAACCATTAGAAGATTATGTTGCAAGCAAAATTATTTGTGGGCTTTGACTTTGTTTGTTGATGTTTAACATCCTGTTAACAGTCAGGGTTGGTTCATTTCCCCATCCTTCACATCCATGCTACACTGGTTTTGGGTGGTGGAGGAAAGCTGGAGTTCTTGAACGAAAAAGACCGACCTGCGGCAAGTACCTGGCGATTACCCCACATAGGTCTCCAACCTGTGACCCAGAGGTGGTAGGCTAGCTATAAAGACAGCCAGACGCCTGAACTACTTGGTCACCATGGCCTCTGATTAAGGGGCTCTAAGACTCGTTGTGTAATGTTGGTGCCACAAGATAACTGGTCCAATCTAAAATGAAAAACACAAAAATCCTTGTAAGATTTCATTAAATTTTTACAAGATTTTACAGAAACTTTGATGTTTTATTTCTTTGATCAAATCTTTTTAAGTCTTTATGGGACAAAATAAGATTACATCAGATACAGCCTCTAAAGACTAGAAATTGATTTGGTGGAGACTGAGCCACAACAGAACTTCCAGATTTACACAGAGATAAAGGTATAAAAGAGCATTCTATTCAACATATATATAAACATTATACAAGATACAGTAATCTTTATTTGACATTATGTTCCAGATATCTGTCATCTTAATATTTTGTCCACATTAAAATATTTTCATGGTTCTGAGATACGATTCATCATGAAATGAATCCCTTCTGATGTTATTCTTTCTCTTCTAATTTGTGATAAGTAATTTCCTGTTTCACGAGAGATGCTGTCTAGTTGGATTATATATAAATAACATGAGATCTGTGATGCATTCGAGCTCAGACAATGTAAGCGTACACGCCACCGTCTACACTAATATTAGGGGTATTGAGATGGTGCTTTATAGCTGCATGCATCTTTCATGGTAGACACACGTAATTGATTTTGATCAGATTCAAGAGATTTCCCTGATTCTGCATAATCATTTAAAGAAAACCCAAAAGGGGAAATGCAATGTATATGAGTAAGATGTAAGACTCCTCATGCATAGAAAAACTTCCTGGTATCATGGCTAGTGGCTGTGGTACCATGATTTATTTAGTTATCTCATGGTTATTATGCTATTGGCTAAGGCATTTAACTCTCTTAATTGTCTACCCAGCTCAACAAATTGATAGCTAGCTGGCATGGCATATGCATGTCTTTAGAATAGAGATACCAACCCGAAGAAAATGTTCCAAAATATACATATCTTTTCCCAAATGATTTCCGTACTAAGACAACTAAAGACTATACAACCTTTCATTGTTACATAGACTAATATCAAAACTCCAAAGTATGATTTGGGAAGTATTGGCGGCATATATTGTGAACAGTATCACAAATGACGTGGATGATGTTTTAGGTAACATGTATCGTCAACTCTATAATCGATTAGGTAAAATTGGCAAGATATCATTCAACTGATAAAAGTCAAGTAAATGTACGTTTTGTGAAAAAGCATATTTGACTTCATCACTGATTACAGAAAATTATCAAAAAAGATTTCCTTATTTGATTAAATGAGTTTGTTCATAATTAAACAGGTAGCCTAAAGTATTCATAAATTTAATAGTAACAAAAAACACTACACATTTTTTATACCTCATTATCAGTTACTAACACTTGGACACTTCAAAGACATGCAAGAACTTACCAATCTCCTAATGAATCTTATCCAAAGTTTTTAAGCTCATTAGTTAAACACACTCTGTAATAGGATACCTCTCAGTCCTACTAATTGACCTTCGAAGCAGATTAATGAAAACCTTTCAGTGTAAAGTAATTATGATATCTAAATTAAGAAAAAAAAACAAGAATTTGTTGCATTTAACGTTAATTGGACAAATATTTTTAAATTAATGGAGATTTTGCGAAGAGAGATAAAATCTTGATTTGGTGGAAGATAGTTTGTGTCATGTACTTGGTCTGTACTTGAATACCCGACTAGTTGTATAAATCTAGAGGTTATTGTAGCTGTAAATGATTCTGAATGCTAATTGCAAGGTTCATAGAGTACAAATACCTATACCCTATATAAACATACAAATTAACCCCAAATTTCTAGATTTCAACTGGGTGTTTCTTGAACTTTCCGAATGATATCATCTGCATTTCTTAATCTCGTCGTCAGAGAGCCAACACTATGTCACGATAAGTAAATTATAAGAAATAGTTTAAAACTGCTGAAAATCTGGCCGTCGTTCCAAATAATTTTTTGCCTAATCAGATCTCCCTAATGTTCTGCGTATTGCATGGTTTTATTCAGAAAAAAAATTAAGAATTTTGAACTTTGTATGAAGATATAGGAATATATTGAGTCAGTACAGTACAATCAGACTAGACATGTTGCGTAGGTACAGTAAGTAACGTCAGGCTGGACAAATATATTACACCCCCTGGGATAATAAACTGCAGTTTTGGAAGTGATAAATACTGCTATTGAAATTAGTAATTCAAATATATAAAGGTTTTAAAATAAATTTACTTTGTGGAAAGGTAATAAACCTGACAGGTGACAATTAGTTTGTCCTCTTGTAATAGTTTATACTGTTGAGAGAATACCCAGCATACTGAGTGTGAGTGGTATCCATATTTTTTGTTTAAAAATAAACTTTATTTATTTTACACTTAAAAAAAACCTGAGAGGTAGGGGAGTTGGTAGAACATTGTTTTATGCATATTCTCGGATGGTGATCCGAGATATGTGGTTGACAATCCGTACTCATGGGGTTTTATCTTTCTCAGGAAGTCGAGAAACAACCAGGTTCTGTGATGTAATGGTGGTGTCCATTGTCAGGATACTTTACCCTTTTTACTCAAAATGGTATACAGTAATGCTGTGGTATGTTTACAGTGAGGTAGTCCCCCAATTACTTGTAAGATATCCTAACTCAAACTGAACCTGGTTGTTCACAATAATTACCTCTCTAGCAAACAGAATGCAAAACTGAAGATATCAGTTGAATTTTGCCCAGATAGTTATACCCAAAAGCCAAGAAATCTGAGTACCTGGGGAAATCCCATGTCAGGCATGCGACCTCTTGACTTTTCATATCCGATTGAGGAATTAAACCATAGATTTCCAGGTGAAACCAGAATGAATTAGCACTCTGCCACCCAACCATACTGACCAGCTGTCCAGAAGCATATTCCAGTTCAACTTATCTAGTTACAAACTATTTCAGAAGTACATGCTTGGTGTACTATTCAGACAACATTAAACCAAATATCTTTCAGAAATATATTTTCCTTGTTGGCTGACAAATGGAGTTTTTATGATTTATGGTGTTATTACATAGGTTTTCATTTAACTTTGAAGTATAAAGCCTTCAAAACAAAATTATTACATCAGTTATTGAAATTAATTCTTTAATACATTTTTTGTTGTTGCATGAGTTGAATTCCTGTAATAAAGAATTTCCTTATTGAGGAGAATCCTGTTCCAGGTTTCTGAAAAGCCTTTAAAAGATTTTATCCTGTGAAGTTGTTTTATGTATCACAATCAATTTTTATCGTTTCTAAGGTATATAAATTCATACATTAACTTTATCTTCAAACAGAAACAATTTTTGTGCATTAGATTAAAATTAAATGCATGCATATTTTCAAACAGATATTCTAGTGTACTGAATTGATGTTAAAAAATGAAGAAATAACTTTTGAATTTTATTTTTCAAAAAAAAGATACAAATATTTGTGACTTGCTTGCTTGATTTATTGATCTGATATAACAATGTGACTGTAATATCACAATGATCTTTCTGTTAAACAAAGTTAGTCCTGTTGAGAGTGTAGTAGATAATTGATGGTCAATCTGACACCTTGCACAATGTTTACACATTCACTTACTTAATGCTGACTTACATTCAAATTGATCCATTAGTTAAATAGAGATCTCGTTATATAGATTTTATCATTTCAACCAAGAAAGACTTAATACTTGTACACGTACCTGTAATAAACATATATCAATAAAGAACACTTAAATATGTACTGTAAAATTGTACATTTTTGTGGGGCTCAAATTTTGTGGATTTCCAAAAATATACATCTTTGTTGGTACTTGATTTTGGCGATAAATCTTTATCACAAAAATTAACTTGTGCTATATTCCATGTTAAATTTAATCTGTTTATAATTTCATGGACATATAAAACTGTGGATTTAGAACAACCATGAACTCTACAAAAATACATTCCCCACGAATATTAATTATTTTACAGTACTTGAATTTTGATTCCTTTGGGAGACATTCATTCCATGGAAAATGGAATTTATATTGATCATTTTAATTTTGATAGTTGTACACAAATTTGATGAAAATAGTGGAAATATTTAGCATTAGTAGAAATGTTTGATATATGTGAATAACAGATGGTAGACAGGAACATTATCTAGGTAAATGTTTGAACTACCAGGTGGGATATGTAATTTGTACAATTTGATGTTGTTTGACACTGACAATGTGATGTCTGTTAGGTGGAACTAATAGTGTACTTTAGGAGTATAGTGTTACATTAAGTGTGGCCACCACCTGTCCTGGGTCTGTTGATATAGTCATCACCGTTCCTTGTTAAATAAAACTATGAACTAAAGTGTTATGTTTGATAATTACAGTATTCACCTCCTGGCCAGTTACTGGAAAACAACTTGGCACTACTTTAATGTCTCCATTCAAACAATTATAATTATTTCCTTTATGTAAATGAAGTTGTGTTCATAACTAAAAAAAACAGCTTATATTTCTTGATAGCCCATTTACAGGTTTTCAAATTCTTGAATTTTTCAGCAAGTTTTCATCCAGCCAATCTCTAAATCCAGACTCGGGATGGGATGAAAATTCTGTCACCTTTCTCAAATCAGAATTTACCAAATATGGTTTGGATAAAGTTAGTGTGGAAGAATATGATGTGGTCGTCACCTACCCTAATCCTGTTCAACCCAATAGGTTAGAGGTCATCTCCTCTGCAGGCCAAGTCAAATTAAATCTGACCTTTGGCCTAGGTCAGAGGTCAAATGCCAACAGGAGAAAGCGGGTTGCTGACAATGTGAAGGAGGTGATGGAATATCCTACAGACCTGCCATATGTGGCGTTTGCTCCTTCTGGAACTGTACAGGTCTGTAGATGAAGAAATTTGTTGTGTATTAAAATTGACTCTTTGATCCCTCTAATATTCAGGATTAGTAGTGTTGGGAATCGGTTGAAATTTCCTGATCGATCATCAACTTTGTGTAATCGATCGATGATCAATTAAAATAGATTAATTCTTAATTGTCTGTTTTTGGATATTACCTTTATTTTGTGTTATGTAACAGTTCACGTAATTACTAAAACTGTTGTACCTACACCATCATTTTGTGTGCTTGTTATTCGTTTATTGCACAGAATACTTTTTAATATAAACAAATGTCGTTTTTTTTAAATAATTTTATTAATGTTGAAAATAATTAATTTGGGTCACATCTCAAAATCAAACAAGTGATAAAAAGTTTTTGACCACTCCTTCCTGGGTTACATTGAATAGGAGAAGTTATTGCAGGTCTGAAGTCTAATTTAAACTCTCATTTTCTAATCAGGGTGCATTGGTGTACAGTCATTATGGAAGGATGGTTGACCTTGTACAGGTCAACAACAGTGGTGTTATACTCAAGGACAAAATACTCCTCCTCAGACTTGGCAGAATCTCGGTGACAGAAAAGGTAAGAACAGACTTAAATGCTTCAAATTTCACATTTCAAAGTAGGTTATCAAAATCTACAGATCAGTGAAAGCTGAGTGAAATTTAGGTACACATGTACTATAATAAAGCTGTTCAGCAACAAAAGCCCGCTATTGTTGGACCGATTCAATTAGATAAATATATGCCAATCTTCATCAATAGTGATCAAGAAAAACCTTGGTACACCGTCTTAGTCATAAAGCTTCGAATCACTTTAAACACACAAATCTTACTTCCTGTATTGCCCTCCATAAATTACAGGATAGAAGGGACTGGTGGTTATTATTGAATCTTTGATGGCAATGTACATAGACGCTTCATTATTTGTGGTGTTTATAGAATAAATATAATCAGTGACATGACACATGTTAAACAAATACTAATTTTGATGTAGTTCATACTGATTTTAGATAACATTTTTTCCATAATTTTCTTGTCATCAGGAAGCTGCAATATAACTTGGTTTACACAGTCTATACAGTTAAGAGATAAAGAGCATCAAATTAGTTTTAGGTTACAGATAAAGAGCATCAAATTAGTTTTAGGTTACAGATCAAAGCATCAAATTAGTTTTAGGTTACAGATAAAAGCATCAAATTAGTTTTAGGTTACAGATAAAAGCATCAAATTAGTTTTAGGTTACAGATAAAGAGCATCAAATTAGTTTTAGGTTACAGATAAAGAGCATCAAATTAGTTTTAGGTTACAGATAAAGAGCATCAAATTAGTTTTAGGTTACAGATCAAAGCATCAAATTAGTTTTAGGTTACAGATAAAGAGCATCAAATTAGTTTTAGGTTACAGATAAAGAGCATCAAATTAGTTTTAGGTTACAGATCAAAGCATCAAATTAGTTTTAGGTTACAGATAAAGAGCATCAAATTAGTTTTAGGTTACGGATAAAGAGCATCAAATTAGTTTTAGGTTACGGATAAAGAGCATCAAATTAGTTTTAGGTTACGGATAAAGAGCATCAAATTAGTTTTAGGTTACGGATAAAGAGCATCAAATTAGTTTTAGGTTACAGATCAAAGCATCAAATTAGTTTTAGGTTACAGATAAAGAGCATCAAATTAGTTTTAGGTTACAGATCAAAGCATCAAATTAGTTTTAGGTTACAGATAAAGAGCATCAAATTAGTTTCAAATTAGTTTTAGGTTACAGATAAAGAGCATCAAATTAGTTTTAGGTTACAATCAAAGCATCAAATTAGTTTTAGGCATAAAGAGCATCAAATTAGTTTTAGGTTACAGATCAAAGCATCAAATTAGTTTTAGGTTACAGATAAAGAGCATCAAATTAGTTTTAGGTTACAGATAAAGAGCATCAAATTAGTTTTAGGTTACAGATAAAGAGCATCAAATTAGTTTTAGGTTACAGATCAAAGCATCAAATTAGTTTTAGGTTACAGATAAAGAGCATCAAATTAGTTTTAGGTTACAGATAAAGAGCATCAAATTAGTTTTAGGTTACAGATAAAGAGCATCAAATTAGTTCTAGGTTACAGATCAAAGCATCAAATTAGTTTTAGGTTACAGATAAAGAGCATCAAATTAGTTTAAGGTTACAGATCAAAGCATCAAATTAGTTTTAGGTTACAGATCAAAGCATCAAATTAGTTTTAGGTTACAGATAAAGAGCATCAAATTAGTTCTAGGTTACAGATCAAAGCATCAAATTAGTTTTAGGTTACAGATAAAGAGCATCAAATTAGAATTATGGAAAACTTGATTACTGAATCAGTTCGTATTAAATGATGGGTTAATTGTCTTAGTCGAATTGTTGCCTTATCAGTGATATTTTTTAATAGACTGTCTCAAACATTTATACCATTATCTGTTATTTATAACCAATTCAAATTTCATGTAAGGCACGTACATACAGAATTGTGAATTCAGGTGAAATGTCTTTTATTATGTCACCATTTGATTTATTAAACAGACAGAATTTGTTTAAAATTACACCAGAGTTAGTAAGAAAAAAACCAGGTTTTAATTCCACCTGACATCTGACTGTATATATACACTGTTGCAGCTGTGTTATCACTAAATACAACACGCATGCATTAGCTTAAAGTGTGTGATAAAATTTCCCACACCTACAAAAATATGATAACAGGCAAGAAAACCTTAGTGGAGAATGTTTATTGTTGATGGATTAGAAACATTAAACGGGAAAATGATACACAGACTTTACTGTAAACAAATCTAGATGAGAAGAATGTTTGAGGTTCAGATTTTTTTTTAACTGGAGACAGAAATATTATCTTGCATGTTGTCTTGAATTACGATTGTCATGATGATGCACATGTTTTTGATGACAAAGGCAAAGAAACACATGTTTACAAATTCTTAAAAGAACTAGCATTTTTTTTAATGTATTGTCTCTGTATGGGGAGATATTATCAGGGCTATAGTATTGTAACAGGAAATAAATATGTCCAATATGGGTCGTAGAGAGACAGAAAATCTATCCCAGGTGACACACAAGATCAATGATCACAGTTTATCAAATTATTGTATAATGGTGTGACAGTTTGTTTAAGATCAATAAACCTTAAACATTTCTGACTTTATATATATACTGTATACCCTTGTACGAAAATGTTTTTTTAGTATCATAATTTCTTATATCAAATAGCTGTGTGAGTGATGGGGTAACACCTCTGGGTTAAAGGTGTAACAGATAGGTATTATCACAGAACATAGTGCCTAGTATGCAGCCTTCATTACTGACTAAACCTTTTATATTGCCCATGCAACAGAAACTTATACACTACTATAACCATACTTCAGTAAAAAGCCAAATAAGTTGATTTCTTGATTGTGAGATCAGTGATGGAAATCCAAACTTTATTCTTAATTAGTTTTGTGATTTCTTTTGATCTCAAGATTTTCTCGTTAAGAAGAAGAAACATGATTATCTGTAGATCTCCTGTGATCTTAAAGATTTACAAGGAAAATACTGTTTCAATAGTATAATTGTACGAGGAAAAATAAGTCAAAACTATTGCTGATCATTTCCTCCAGATATTCTGTTTTCTTACTTTTCTGTCATGATAACTTAATTTGATTTATATTCTATTTTGATTATGTTGCAGAATAAATCAAAATAAAAAATAAAACCTCTCCTATCCCATATTATTAAGAATTCAAAACTATACTCATGACTCAAACGACTTTTTTTATTGTGGTTTTATGACCTATATATGATCAACATTTTAGCCTAAAATGTGCATTGGCTGTACGAGTATACAAGTGATTTACAATATCATTCTGCGGTGGGATAGGTGTGTAGACAATCCCAGAGCTAACACGGACTCATGATGTCATTTTCCTATTTTCCCCTATCATTCTATACAGGACTTAAGATTCACCCCTAGATTTATTTACACTCTCCTCAAACTGGGCGATATGCTGTCAGGGTTTCCACGTTGCCTGAAGTTGTGACGTCATCAATTATGTGCTTTAAGTGGTCAATATTAACGGCCATTGATTGCTCCATCTATACTTTTGTATTAAAGTGTATCCCTAATGACAAGTAAATTTATGGTTTTATGATAGGAATAGCCAGGCTGTAACAGTCTGTGGAGTTGAGTACCCAGGGGTGGTTAAAGATAGAGATTTATTGATACTACATGACGGTACATGACCCCCATACATGCTATAACTGTGGTCCACTATGTAGATCAAGGCTCTCAATTTCATTACTCTTTGTTATTGTAGATAAAAATTTTCAGTCCAACTTTTCAATTATTTCAAGATAGTTAAGACTTCACTCTGAGGAACCAGTTTTCATGACCCTATAAACTTTGACAAGTCAAAAAACCGCACATATGCAACATTGGGGTGTCGTTCTTCCAATCATAGCTAGATTTGTCATTTATCCCTTCACCATAGTCCTTCTCTGTATTATTGCTTGGTTCCATCTGATTTGAAGCTAGCTATCATTTGATCATATTCCCATAGGCATGTATGTAAACGTTAGAGAGTCTTACATTAGTGTTGTTAAAGTAATTCCAAACTTTTCGTACCAGCCTTATTGTTGTGATGAATGATGAAATCTATGTGATTTTGCATTGGATAAGATAACATTATTGTTTCAAGATGCAAATAATGTTAATTTTTCTTCAATACATTTTGTATATCTATAAATAATTATTTAGTATCAGATCAAGGTTAATGAAAGAATTTACAAAACTGGTTTATAAAGAAAAGTGACAATGGAGTCCTATTTTATCTAGAAGTTCATAATGTATTTATGTTCATGTCTAAAATGTATTACAAGTTACATTTTTGGCATTACAATATTAAACAAATTTATATCAATTGTTAAGAGAAAATGCTGGTAAAAAAAATTTAAGATTTGATAAAAAGCATATGATATATATTGATATATTGCAGAACAGATTCTATATTTTTTCATTGTATTGACTTAATCACTATGCAATTTCTGATTCAGAACCAAATCTAGACTGTGCATTGCAGACCGGCATTTATAACACATATATTTGACACTGGTTATCTGTCCTTTTTCTAAAGAACGTTTAGATATCTGACATAGATCTTCCAAGGCTTTTCCTCAGTGTTATTTTACATGTAAGTTATAATGTAGATGTTTATAATCAGATTACATCATAAAATAGATGAAATTTGTTGTAACCCATTTCTGTTGATAGTTCTGGTATTTATTGGTGATATCGTAAAAGTGGACATTTTGTCAGTCTGAGTGGTCACACATCTTTATATATCTGGTGTCCATTATGATGTAGAATGGTTTGAGGTTGGTTTTGATATGTGTCAATAGACCTATCATCTTACCACTCCTTACTAACAGTGCAGCTAAAATGTAGGCTAGGCTAATTGGCATGGTGAAAACCATACGCCAAAGGTGTACACTTCTTCATAGATCCTGTTAACTGTGATTGACCTGAAAATTGCCAGGTCCTATTAGTGAGATTAAACCACTGTCGACTTGTTT